GTGGGTGATTGGGTATCATATTTGTTCATTTTTCGAACTGTTTCCTTATTGTCATTGGGAGTATCTGGTTTTATGGCGTGAAATGACATTTGTAGGTTTAACAAATCAAAATATTGCGAAATGTTTTAGGCTATTTTTGGAATAAATTTATGGGGAATTGGGTGCAAATGGGGTTTGAAAAAAAAATGTTATGGAGGGTTTGAATTTTTTAGTGGGCATATATCCGTGGCGGGAGATGGATTTTTTTTACGCTGAATTCCATTTGATATTCAGTTGGATTTCGGGATTTTCATCAATATTACCGTAAAAATTCTGTAATAAACTTTTTTAATATTACAAATTTTGCTATTTTTTTAGGCGTTCCATTTACATGATAGTTATAACACAAGAAAAGAGCCCTGAGGCAACTTGCATTGGTGGGCTGGCTGAGTTGAAATCAAAATATTGCGAAATGTTTTAGGCTATTTTCAGAACCAATTCATGCGGAATCGGGTACAAATGGGATTTGTAAAAAATTTGTTATGGAAGGTTTGAATTTTTTAGTGCGAATATGTCTGAGGCAGGGAGATGGAATTTTTTACGCTGAATTTCATTTGAAATTGAATTGACTTTCTAGATTTTCATAAATATTACCCTAAAAATTCAGTAATAAACTTTTTTGAAATTACAATTTTTCTATTTTTTTGACGTTTTATTTTCATCATAGTTATAACACAAGAACACAGTCCTGAGAGACTAGTCCACTGCGTTGGTGGGCGGGTTTAACTACGGGAAGCTAGGCAGCGCTGAGCGTAGTCACTAAGTGGAGTGGTGACCACGAGGGAACACCTGGGATGGTTGACTTGAAATCAACATATTCCCAAATTGGTTAGGTTGTCTCTAGAATGAGTACATCTAATGCAGGGAGATAAATTTTTTTTACACCGAATTCCATTTGAAATTCGGTTGAATTTCTGGATTTTTATAAGTATTACTGAAAAAACTTCAGTAATGATCGTTTTTTGAAACTACAATTTTTCTATTTTTTCGTCGTTCTATTTTCATCATATTTAGAACACGAGAAAAGAGTCCTGAGGGGGTACCTCGCTGCGTTGGTGGGCAGACTTAACTTTGGGAAGTTATGCATCGCTGAGCGCGGTCACTAAGTGGAGTGGTGACCACGAAGGAACACGTGGATGAAACCGGTGGTTGAGAATTGGAAGGAGGAAAGAGCTTTAAGGACGAAAGTGGTCCGGAAAGTAAAGATAAAAAAAAAGCATCCGTAAAGACCGAAAGATACACGAAAGGTAACCGAAATAAAAATTGCGACAAGAACATAATCCACAATTTCTTAAATGGAAGAACAAATTTACGAATAAAATCCCTAACAATTTTTCCAAACCAATTATATTGTACTAGATATTCCATCAATTACAGTAAAGTATAAATTAAGCTCAAAAGCTGAAAATAATCAGCCAATTCTTTATTCATATCGCAAAATAAATTAGATAAATCAAATTCAGTCAATCAATTTTTTTCCATTTTCGAAACCAATTGAAAGTTCATATAGGCAATTTATGAATATAAAAAAAACTATGATGAATTGATTTGAAAATACGTTCAAAGGTCTAAGAATCCACTCTTCACACTGTAAAAATAATAAAGCAAATAAAATTCAACAATCAAAAGTATTTCTCCCGTAAAAATTGATGAGAATTCCCATCAAATAACTCCCTCTAAATATTTCAACAATTTCCCCTCGAAATTCTCAGCAAAATCACCTATCACTGTATTTCAAAAACCCTTTAGCAGAAGAAAAATCGTTTTATTAACCCCAGGAATTTAATAATGAAAGAGGTGAGGCGTTCAAATTGAAAGAAAAATTGGTATTTCAACGATTTCACCTCTCATGTAGCTCCCACGTCACGTACGACGAGCCTCAACTGAGGTGAACTTATTGGGAGAAAGGCTTTAGGGACAAACTTTTCAACTTAAATCGACACTAAATTAACGCCGAAATCGGCTTTAAAAGTAGGCGATTTGAAGTCACCGGGTTGCGCCCACCCTAAATTACACGGATAACGAGACATTAGTTGGTACGGACACGTACCCTATCCGCGAGATACAGAAAGCGAGGGTTTCTGGGTATATTTTTTTCCTCCATACGCCCTCCCGCGAAAACGAAATGCCAGAGAGTGGGATAACGGAGTATGGGGCCATCCAGTGGAGTGGGTTTGGCCCGTTAACAAGAGCCGGGGAGAATCACACGGACGTATAAAGGGGGATGTTAACTGAAAACGAGCGAATAGATCGTGCCCCTGGTTTCTGCGAAATATAATATTCCATAAAATTCTCTGGAGGCCACTTTTGTAATTAGCCGCAGTGTCAGAATGACAATACAACTCTCAAAAGTGCTAATTCAATTAATTTCTGGGCCTCACATCGACGGGGAAAAAAGGATTTCATGACTCCTTTAAATTAATTCTGGCACTGTTTCAACCCTGACTTACAGATATGAAGGGACTGCCAGCAAGGGGAGGGGAGAAATTAATGTTGGATCGGGCAAGTTGCAACGCTAAAGTTGGATAAACTTGGCACGCGAACGATCGCTAGGTAATTAGGCTCCTTCGTGGGCTAATTGCCAAGTCTCTGGGCGTTGTTTCAGGGGCTAAATTAAAATAACGGTGAATTTGGATATTTAAAGGCTGTGGTGGAGGTTCATTTCTTTTAATACCTTTCAGAATCGCATGTGCGGTTGGGTTGAATGGAGAAAATATTGGGTATGAATTCTGATTAATTGGGGGACGTCTAATTGAACTACTATTAGGTACAAAAAATTAAGGCTGAAGGGAAAAAAAAAACTTGGAACATTAGTCGAGCACCGCACAAGAGGTTTCATCGGTTGCGAATAAATTTGCGACCAAGATCAGAATATCTTACGCGAAACAGTAATTTTTTTGAGAATGATTTTTTGACAAATTAGAATATTGTTCATGAAAATGAGAATGTAAAAGGAAATTCATTATTCATAGTAATCGTAAAGTGAAAACGGAAAAATAGTGTGAAAATTACTCAATATTTTCACACAACTGTACTACACTGTCTGTCGTCTTAAAATGAGACGTTTTTCCGTCTAAAAACAGGACGTTTGCTAGACATGACGTTTTCATAAGGTCTTGAAATACGAGTCGCGAAAGTGGAGACTTTGTTTTTTGTCTCAATCCAACACATTTAAAGACGATTCAATCGCTAGTCATTTATAACGGCCGAATGTGATAAGATATTAACCCCATAGCATTCAGAAATATTATCATTGCAAGATCAGAAGGAAGTAAACCCTTCAATATTACTCTAAGGACAAATCATTCTCAACTATATCTTCAATCACAAAACTTTTCCCGAAATGTTTAAACTTCCGTCAAATCCTGCTTGATAACCAACATTTCTCACGAACCAGAATTGAGTAGCCAAATGGTAAAAGGAGATAAGTGTATTTTTTTAGAAGTTCGTAATATCGTTAGAATAGAATACTTTATTTCCTTGATGCTACTGTTACAGGTTTACATCTACACAAGCCAACCAACAAATATCTCCAATAACATGCCAATAAATTGTTCGTAATATTATTATTACCATTTGAAACTTAATATTTCAATGTGATTCACGCAAAATGTGTTATTTTTTAAAAAGTGCACTCATCTTCTTTTACCACTTCGCTACTGAATTATCAGCGAAAAAATCGATGAAGTATTTGTAAAATAAAGGAGACATCATAAATTAAAGTAAAATACGTCTAATGTCTTACTTGGAAACGGTAAAGATGACTTGAATTTCCGGACACAAACATCTAAAAAAAATGGTAAAAAAGTTCCTCAATTTCAGACCCTAGATTTTTTTGTGCACAATGCGTTATAATACCCAGTTTTAGTTGATCCGGTTAGCATCGCTGGTTTACAGTAGCTTCTATTCACCCAGCGGTACAGGCGACTTGACCAAAATTGTCGAATCGATCCATTCTCGATTATCTGGCCCTACGGTTGACTCGTCACAGACAAAAAGCTCATGGTGCGAACGCTACCCGATTGAACGCATTGATTTGCCAACCAACAGAGTCATTGGCCAGAAGTGATTTTGAGGACGCGTAACAGTGAAAGAGAAACACGATAACAGAATAAAATACTCGCGTCCCTCATAAGTTTCATCACGCATGGACACAAAGTAGGAACAATGGTGCTATCACTCCCGGTTTTATTGAATTAGCCAAGAACTACTCGCCGGTGATAAACCCGTATATTGATATGTACTTTGAATTGAACGTTGTAATCTTGTTTCCAGATAAATTCAGGGGAAATTTCAATTCCACTGTGATGACCAAATCACTGCTGACTGCACTGGCAACAGATGGAAATGATGATATCACCGAGTTTGAAATTACACTGGATACATTAAATTTTGGTTAAAAAATTGGGCATATCCCCGGGTTGTTTAATATTATGGGTTCAGTGGGGAGGTGGGAAAAATGTAATTTGGGGAGAGAATTCGCAGTCTGGGGTAACCCTTCCACACCAGTTCATTATCAGAGGGTCACAGATGTACGTGAGTATTAAACCCTGAATATCATTATGAAGTATCATTATAAAGTTTAGTAATGGTTTTTAATAAACATCGCTTGGGGTCGACTACACCCGGAGCATTCTTCGGGCGCACAAAGCTCGATTGTAAAAATTCTTTTTCAACTGTTTTCAAACGAGAGATTGAAAGGGAGTTGCAATCTACCTGGCTAGCCATGAGAGTCGGATGAACATACGGGGGCACAATCGGCCGAGTCGCAAGGGGCAACTTTGAGGGCTTTGTAGCTTGTTTGTAGTTTTGTTTTGTTCTGTTTCCCGATCTTTTGGTATCCAACTTTAGCTCCGGTCATTCCAATGGGACCTATTTTACCGTTGTTTATTTCCATTCCTGTCTTTTTTCGTTATCAGGGCGAAATTGGGAGCGAATAAATGTTGGAAAAAATCGTGAAATACGTTTGCATAAGTCTTTATTTAGAAAAAATATTGGTTACACACAATGAACATAAATTCAGACAGATTCGTCGATATGAATCTACGATAAATTGGAGCTTTTTATTCGTTTTTTTCCGTATTCGTCGAAACTGGAGATCATAATAGAAAAGTTTGAAACCAATAAATGAAAAGTGCTCAATAAACACGAGGATTCGTGGGCTATCGTAACGAAATGATACTAAATAATCGGATGCCGTTGAAACTTTCAGCATAAAATTCAAATTAATGCTGTGGAACAAAAAGTCGAGTATTTCGTGTTATTTTCGAGTCATTTTTTTTCGGCTTCATTTTTGTATTCTCGTGGAATCCACGTTTACTGCTCCATGATAAAAAAAACAAAATGTGAATAATACGATACGGGATAGGGGGATTTAATATTGTGGTGATGGGACGGGGGGCTGGTAGTTTCGCGTGAATAATAGTGTTATTGCGCAGACCCGACTGTTGTGGTTGCCGATGATACTCCACTTGAGGGAACACCGGAAGTCGGGGAATTCGGTGGTGCATAAGGACTTCCGCAGAGTTGATCCGCTATACGACCACCCTCCCTTAATCCACTCAAAAATGCTCCGTGCACGGTTGCTGGATAGTTGCGAATCGTGTGCTCTCCTATAATTCATAAAGGAACATTGAATAAATTATGGTAATACATTAGCAGATATGGGAGAGGAGAATTTGACGAAATAATTTTTTGAATGCAGTCATAATCGTAAAGAGCAATTGGAGGTTCTGGAGAAAATCTCAGTTTCATCCTCGATTTTTCACGAAGAACATTTCGCTCTATTGGGCCGTAATCATAAATTTTCATTTCGGATTCATGCGAAATTCCAGCATTATGGTTTGTGCGGGGGGAGGGTGAGACTAAAAAATATTCCATACCAGCGAAGAAAACTTCGGGCTATGCATGTACGCCAGGGCTAAATCGACCCGACGAGAACATGAACAACAATTACAAAACAAACAAGTGGGAAATTGCTTTCGTCACACCGTAATCAATATATTTTTGCTATTAAATTAGCAATTTGTTTGTGAATGGCATTTCTATGAGGATGTATTTTAAATTGAATTCAATGATTCATTGAATTCAACATTGCCCCAACGTTGGCAGCCAACATTGCCCCGCTGTTGAAATTTTTTACCTTTCCCTGAACATTGGTTTCCAAATAAATATTTTCAACAACAGATGACGCAATCAATCTCATGATCGAACTCGGTGAAAAGAGCATTGGGAAAAATATTTTGAATAACAATAGGATTCATTTAAACAATTATTTTCTTAGTTATCTTCGAAACGACATACACACTCATACATAGCACCGGATATTCGAACTCCTAATGCCATAATTAGTTATTCTGACACAAAAAATGGGAAGTCACCGATTTGACGAATATAATGCTTCCATTCGGAAGTGAAACGGTAAAGAACACAATAATATTGTTAAATAAAAGGAGCCCGATTCATTAAAATAACTTTATTGCGATAATTAACGGTTAAAGAAAACAATAACATGACGTAAAACTAAAGATGCGTTCGCGGATCAAGACATCAAGACATAAGATAAAAGAATAACGAATCGGAAAGAGACGATCGCACGTGAAGGTGGTTGAGAGGGGGAAAGATAATGAATACGCAACAATACGATCAATAATAAGTGGAGTAAATATGTAAGAGTGATCGATGAAACCTCTGTTATATTTTGGTATTCCCTTAGGGGATCTTTTGTATCCCAGGAAAATAATAAACTGCTTCTATCGTCTTGGGATCTCTTCATTAGGATCCAATGTATGTCTATGGCACGAGAAATTTTGGTTCCGAAATCCCAGCATCACGATTCATACCGCGGGGAGAAGATACTGAAAAATATTACAAACCAGCGAAGAAAACTCTGGGCGGTGGTGGTGTAGCCCCTGCGGGCTGATTCGGTGGTGGCGGTGGTGCAACGGGTGCAGCGAGTAAATCGTAGTCACTTCCAGAGCTACCTACAGCAACAAAACTATAGGATCCACGTGCCCAGGGATCTGCACGCCATCTTGTTACAACGCTCTCGCGTGGCTGTGGCACGACTTGGTTTCCAAATATTCCCTGGTGGAAAATACGAGGAATCTTTAGTCATATAGATCACCAGGACCTGACTTTGGGAACAGCGGTGGAGTCTCAAGTGTTCTATGCACATTCCCATGGTATCCAGGGAGAGAAGCCAAGTTGTGGGGTAGTAAAAGGATTTTGGATGCAGAGTGATGGAGACAGAGCTGGGAAATGGGAGGACCAAAGAGGATAAATAATTCTCTGTTGAGGGAAGCGTATTTTTGGCAATTTCAGAAGATTTTTTTGCTGTTGGAGAACTTTGTGAAATTGACATGATCTGCCACAGGACTTCTGTGTATTTCTTGAGAATTCAGTTTTAAAAGATTTATAATTTTTTTTTAATCGTTATTTTACATCGCTTCGACCCCGTTAGGGTATAGTGCGATGATGATCAAGACATTAAATGGTTAGATCGCACCATTCTACCCGACCGGGATTTGAACTCAGAACCTTTTGCATGTGAAGTAACGAACATACCCACTGCGCCAAGCCACCGGGCTGTTTTATGATTTTTAAAGATTTATCAAACATCAGGCGCACAACAGGTTTTCTTTTTTAAATTTGGTGGTCATTCCCTGCTGAAATAATGAAACGACTTACTTTCAGCACAGCGATGCAGCGCCCAACGATGACGTCGTCGCTCACATTCTCCATGACGCAGGCTGCCTCGCCCGCAACAAGGGCCAAGAGCACTGGTGCTTTGTACAAGTTCCAGAAGAGGAACAATTCACCCCTCGATGCCGTCGTACTGCCAACGTGACCGAACAAATTGGCAGTGGGATCCCAGAAGATTCTCTCGAAGCAGAGGACCACCTGCAAATTTCAATAAAGGAAATCAATCTCAAAGGTTCGAGAAAACCAATACCAATAGTATTGATTCACTAATGGAGGGGTATGAATCGACTTAATTGGAAGACACGACGGCTGTCGAGCCCTAGTAGAAATTAATGATTAAATGGAAATAAACCACTGAGAAGCTAAACATCTAAAGAAGATGATAGTCGTCATTTTTATGAGAATGTTTTCAAGACAAGAGCATTGCCAATTAGAATGTGAATATGAAAGGGGATGAGTTATTCTTGCAAATCGTGAAATGAATAATGAAAAATACAGCGAAAATTACCTAATATCTACACAAACCTGTACTACACTGTAAAAACTAATATCTTCAAGACGTTTTTTCGGTTTAAAAACGAGACGTTTCCTTAATATTTTGAAATACGAGTCACTAAATTTAAAACTTTTTTTTTGTTTAGTATGACGGCGGTACTATGTTAAGACATTAACGCGTTTGAGACAAATGAATTCAAAATAACTTCAATTTGGAGACACAACTGTCTTGAAAAATGGGAGAATAGCGTCTTAATTTCAGACAGTACATTTTCTACTATAGAAAATTGTTCTCTTTTATGATGACCGTAGACAGACCTCAATCGATGAATTTGTTCCCGACTTAAGAACACTATAAAAAGTGTGAAGAGTGTTCATTTTCCGCCAACTTGCCCTAACCGTCCTATAATTTTTCCAGTCACCATCATCTCAAAACCCAACAATTCACACAATTCTTTACACAACGATTCGTTGTCACCAACCGTTAAGCCAACAGAGTGCAAGCCACTCGTCATATATGCAGTCACCCGAACATGAATTTCACATTTCCCAATAAAAGCCATGTACAACGCTGAACGTTTTACCTTGTTGAGGTTGCCAAAGCCAAGTCGCTGAATCGCCTGGGATTTCCAATCCGGCAGTGGTGGATTGAATGCCACTGCCGATGGTGCTGTTGACGCTTTCAGTACCCCCAGTGGTAGAGTCACCAATACAGCATCGGCCTTATGCACAGTGGGATTGGTGTGAGAGCTGCGAGACGGTGCTGCCCAAACTTCAACACCATTTACACCGTATCTCACAGCTCTCACAGCTGTATTCAATCTTATGTCTAAGCCCTCGGATAGGGCAACTGGAACGCAGGAGTAACCGTTGCGGACTGTAACAGAGAATTCAATCATACAACATTAATTGAACGGTTCTGGGTGACGAAGGGAAAGGAAAACCCTTACATCAAAGTAGCTCTACCCTTACGGTAAATTCAAAGATTATTGAAAACTGCAAAAAAATTGCAGAAAACTCGATTAGGCTTGGAATTCTAATTTTTTTCTCAATTTAATTATCGTTTTGGTTTTTCAATGAAGAAATGTTTAAAAATCAGGATTTAACCCAGGGTCTTATGTGTAAATCAACATTTCCATTGTAATCAAAGATTAAAATCTGAATTTTTTTTCATTAGATGTGAAAAAATCAAGAATTCTGTTTCTAACTCATGGTGGCTCACTTATTTCTTCAAATACTTCATTCACGTTTTCTCAATGCCCGACCATGTTGCATGAAAAGAGTCAATCATTTTATCATGATAATTTGCACTGTATCCTGTCCAAGAAATGGACGACGAGGATCTACCGGACTTATTCACTAAAAGATCAATAAAAGCTTAAAACAGATTTTTCATTTACGCACAAAAACTAAAAGATATTTAAATAGGGCGAATTGTGGCATTCAATACATTAATATTTCGCCGGACAGATAAAGGATTCAAAGTAAATTTATAAATAGCTTGAATCGCAGTAAAGCTGGCATTGAAAATTATGTTGTGAAGCAAAATTTGAAGGGAGTTAGAAATATAAGGGTCAGAGAAGTTTTGTGATCAGAAATCCTGATGAAAACGATTTTTGTTAAGAATAATATTTAATATTTTTACACATTTGTGATATTGCAATCACATGAATGCATTCCCTTCCCAACCTCTCAATAAATTCAGAACTTCACTAAATTGGAAGAAAATGAATAAGTTACCACAAAAGTCTTATGATCCCGTCTTAATGGCGCACATTTGTGTTTCTGATGTCTTCAATTAAAACGTCTTGGAGACACTTTTACAATGTAAAACGGAATTTCATCTAATTAAAATCAGATAATGGGTTATGCCACAAATTAGTATGTGGACTAGATATTACTACGTCATATGCATTATTATGTACCCCCCACCCCCCCAAGTTGGGCACAATATCTTCTTGAACGCAATTTTTCAGCCGAAACGTCTCTCTGCAATAAAAAAATCGACGTAATCCCAAAAGAAATGAAACAATAGAAATAAACGAGGAATGTGATGAAGACGATAATGATCGTCAATAAATTGTCCAGCCCACGATGTCCCCCGATGACGCACATCTCCTCACACCCGAAAAACAAGTCATTGAAAAACTGTACGCATTTTGAGTACCATATAACCGCGCGTCGGTATGTTCTAATAATGACGCTTATGCATCTCTGTCTAGCTGGGTTAATTATGTTGATGGTATTGCCGCGTGGCTACCAAGCGAATCCTGTGGCGTTAGCCCATTTCGTTAATTAAAATTTATGCTACCAATCTGTTAGCCCGGGCGAAAAGCGTCGTAATTTAAATTAGCACTTTCGCTCATCGATCCCTCTATTATTCTGGGGTCTACCGCTACTTCGTCACCTTGATATTCAGCTCGACTGCTCTTTTCTTATTATTTGCACACCACAGAGAAAAACAGTTTCTGGTTTACGGGATCACGGTACTGGAATCTAGAACTTGGCAATGGAATCAACAAGCGTTGGGGGCATTCAAATATTAGAGGGGAGGACGCTCTGTACTTTGTGACGAGGGGGAAAAGGCCTTGCCTAAGTTGTGAAGTCACATCATCATTAATGAAGATAATTGGAGCAGAGAAGGATGTAAATTCAACAACCTCAAGGTTTGTATTTTAAGAAAGCTGGGGTTTTTCATTTCGGTACCGGCAGGTTCTTGTTTTAAGAACCTAAAGTACTAGATTACAGGTTGAGGACTAGATTACATCACACAAATTTTTATCACGTTTAATTTCCACTGAAATTTCAGGAAATCTTGTCATTAAAAAATCTAATATTTCATTGAATTTCTGTCCGAATGATCTGCAAATCGCGAAAATCCTTGATTTTCAATTTAATTTCTCAGTCAAAAATCTGAAAAATTCATGGGATTTTATTTCGAAACGTTCATGTTCCATTAATAATTCAATCAAGCTGTGGAATTTCCGTCGCAGTCCCACTGAAAACTCATGAATTTCTACGAATTCTACCTAAAATTGACATTTCATAATCATTTTCCCCCAAACTGGATTCAATGTCACTCCCATGAGAATTAGTACCATTTCTTCCATTGAATTTTTAGTATACTTCTTGGAAATTGCGTTACGTGACAGTTCCACTGAAATTTCACTGAATTTTGACATTGAAAATTCACAATTTGAAATTGTCTATAATAATTGCAAAGAAAAATCAGGAAGAAATAACTGAATGTAAAAATTCGCAGAAAATTTATTCATCTTGCTTGCCCTTTTCCGAAAAATCCCGTATTAATGGAACAGAATGATTCTTCGCCTCAAATTTTTCCCTTAATTAAAATTCAAAATCCCGAACCAAAATTTCGTTCTCCAATTACCTACATTGAACAGTAATTTTTTATGTGATTTTCATCAATTATTCCATCTAAATCCATAGAAACGAGTGAAACTCAGATAAATAAATTCTCGGTTCTCCGATCAATTGGAAAATTCCACTCAATTTCCAATCAAATTAAAAAATTCGTTATCACCCCCGCACCCCTAAATAGAATAGACTGTCGCGCTCGTGACAATCCCACCTAAACTGTCCGTGAAATTTCAATGTTTTCCTAACATTGCGAGAATTCTCACGGTGTTCATTGCAGCTCGGAGGTGTATAAAAACAACTGAATAATGATATAAATAGCTCCATATCTTTTCTATGTATAACAGTGGTATGTTAGATTGCGCCTGCTTCATGCATCTGCACTTTCTCCCGTAGATTGCAACATCGTGAAGCATTTGCACGCGATATACCGCATGATTTTTATCCTCCTCCTCTCCACCTCTCATCGCAGGTGTGTCTTAATGCACGCGAGCAATCTACGTGGTTGTTACCTGAGATGAAGCATCACAAAATGTCCCAATCGGGTTTTTGCACTTTTTTCTTTCCACTCACTTTTATTTCCTCTCCTTTTTGGGGGCTCACCCGATTGCTTCTCTGTTGTCGGAGGTGATGTGCGCCCGTTGAGTTTTTCACACCCCTAAAACAAGCGTGATGGAACAGGGGGGCATGCACACAGAGAGGACCGCCCTCGTGTTCACCGACCGTGACATCCCCATCATTTTCGTTTACACATGTACCAGTAACCACTTTACCTTTTCCAACCATACTTGGTCAATTAAAACAAACGCTAACAATGTGTTTCGCATTTGCGCGTTTTCGCCACTTGATTTTTCTACACCTGAATTTTTTTTATCGATTTTTCAGAGAATGGAATATTTTAATCTTTTCCATCAATATTCCACACTAATAGAAAAGATTTGTTGCTGTCGAAATGCTTTTAGGGAAAAAAAACATGAAATTTCAGGTTTCACTGAAAATTCAATAAAATTTCAGAATTTTTAGCAGCATAAAGATGAAAATTCCGTAATTTATTTGAATATCCAATCTAATATGAATATCCAGTGCCAGATTACATTGAATTCTCAGTGAAATCTGAAATTTCATGATTGTTCCCCCTAAATCGCCTTTAGTGTCACTGTCCTGAAAATTCAAAAATATATTACCGGAATTTTCTAGTTTTCTATTCATTTTCAGGGAAAAATGGAACTGAAATTTACAGTTCTCTTTGATGTTTTCACGAAATTCTGAATTTTCAATGAAGAAATTCCTTGAAATTTCAGTTATAATTAAATTCAATAAAAATTTCCAAAAAGTGTAGCGGAAATTTCAGACAAAATTTTTTAACAGTGTACATGAAATATATGTTTCAAGTTGACTATTTCGATCGAGCCCAATAGTATTTATTTATGTCTTTGTGAAATTCAAATAAAATAGTGATTTAATATTCCGTTTCAACGAAACAAAAAATGAAATCCTATTTACTATTTTATTTCACTATTTTACTATTTGGTTTTACACGAAACAGTTTTTGTTCCTACAAATATTTCCTTTTCTTATCCCTTATCGCCTTGATTGATCTCTCGCGGTGACATAATCGCAATGAATTACGAAAAATTGGCTCAATGGGTAGAATATCGCAGTTTATCCATATGAGTTATTTGCCGAGTTTGTCACTAAAGACGGGACTTTATATAGCGTTTCACCGATTCAGAGGCAAATTACTAATTTATTGGTAACAACAACTATACTTATTGATAAAAAAAATGCAATTGTCCATTTTTTATTGGCGAACGAATGTTTTTTCCCCCCATTCATAAACGAATTTTTATTTAACGGAATGAATGTCAAAAAGCTTCAATTGTATTCAACGGAGAGTAAAAGTGCTATGTGAATGGCTAAATAAAATGTTTTTAATGAGAAAACCCGTGTGTTATATTGGCACCAGCAGCACCAATTACCCCCGGCAATTAGCGGAATAACGAGAATGGCCCCGGATGAAAAACCCTGACCAATTGAAAATTTCGAATAGCAAAGAATATATTTATTCCTTTCGTGGATATTTTCCCATCATTCCAAAGGGATTCGTTTTTATGTTTGTCCCTTGTGTTCAATGGAACCCGTAAAATTTACGACTTTGAACCTTGCGAATAACTCTAATACTCCGGGTGACCCGTGTACCTAAGAAAATGAGAAGGAAAAATGGTATAAATTCGTGGAAATGCAGGGACACGGAGACTATGAAAATCATCCTTGTTATCTACCTCAGATTCTTCCTGAATTGCTACAGTGTAAAAATACAATTCATTTTATTCTCTCTGCTGAACTCCATCTGCACTCTTCCGTTCCCCCCCCCCCCCCCCCCCCCCCCCCC